AAACGTTAACATCTATCGATAATTTTTTTAAATTAGTCATTTTTTTGGGAACATAAATAAAATATCTTAACAGATTTGTCGAGCTCTCTCGCTCTGTTTAAAATGTTTTATACTAAACAACTACTTTTATGTATGTCTAATGTCCAACCAAAGCTAGAATCGTCTTTATAAAAGCTGCCAGCTCATATTTAGGCAAAGAGTTTGAATTGGTTACAAGAACACATGCACATAAGTATCCAGAAAATGTTTTCATTTCATTCCATGTTGTTTATCTGCCCAGGTACCGTCGAAGTATGACATTTCATTTCAAAAGCTGCAGTGCCTGTTATGAATATATGAACACCTTTGAATGTTATATTTGTACATATGCACGTCTACGTGTATATATGGCACTGGTCGCCTCTGGCATTTTGCAGCCAGGGCCAAGAACACCATTAACCATGGCTTGGACTTGGTAAAAGAGTTGAGCTGTTATTGTCCAGTGGCATACTGAATATTTCAAGAATTTCTTAATTGTTAAAACAAGCGAGCACGCACACACACACAAGCACGCACACACTCGGACACAGACCAGGGTCAGTATTTGTTGTTTTTGTTTTCGCTACTGTTGCCATTCTTGTGGGTCGTCATTTAATAATTCAAGTTTGTTGCTGTTGTTATTGTAAGAAAACGGTTGCCGACTGTCTGTATGCAGTATGTGTGCTTGTGTGTATTTTATTTTTAAAAAACAATTTTCCAACAAACGACAATGCGAATGACGGCCAAGTTGGTCCAGGCCGGAGTTCGAGGCGAGGCTATCATTTCCCTCTCCCAGTGGCAGTACGGCTAGAGCACGGACTCAGCATGTGCCACAAAGTATACAACAAAAAACAGAAAAATCAGAAGAAAAGCGAAACAGTAGATGAAGCATAAGCAACAGAACGCAACGCGAAAAATAACCCAAAAATATAATAAAAAGAAATTGGACAATAAAATACAACAATTTATAGCGTACAGCAATCCTTTTTGGTGGCACTTTACGGCGGACTGCGAGCAGTCAAGGGGCAACGGACGGACTTGTGCACCAAAAGTCGCACACCGAGGCAGAATGAGAAAGAGAGGCGGACAATGTGTGAGAGAGAGAGAGTGAGAGGGGCCAATGGACATGCCGGATAAGGCGGTAACATTGTTTGCGGCAAGTGGGCGTGGCATCACAGCAAATCGTCATTGGAAACTAAACGAAAATGTTTAGTATTTGTGCTTTTATTTATTTTATTCTATGTATTTTTTCGTGATTTTTTTTTTGTTTTTTTCGGTTTGCCTGGAGCGTTTTTTTATTTTTATTTATTATTCCCAAGGTTTTACTGCCCTTCGCACGCTCTATTTATTTATGTGTTTGTCAGCGTTGGAAAGCGACTTCAGCAAAGATATTGAATTAAAACTAAACAACGCACGATGTTTTTGTAAAATATTAAAATGATATACGAGCCCTATTAAATAATCGAGATTTGAAAATATCGTTTTTAATAAACTAGATACACTGGGTAATAAATAAAAATAGCTAAAGATAACACATTTTTTGGGATTGATTTATGAAAATAATGCTATGTTAAAAAATGTAACAACAAATTATTTAATTATAATACAAAAAAAATTTAAACGAAAATTTGCAATAATTTTGTAGGTAAACCGCAATTGAAACTAAATATATAAAATTGAAATACGCACAATGATAAATTTGTATTCATACTCATGTATTTTTGCTAATTGGTAAAGGTATATGACGAATTAGTTTTTTTACATTTAATATTTATATTGTTAATATTTGTATTTATATCCAACTTCAACGATTGGTCACGTTTGACACTACGTGCCTATGTCAAACATTTATAATGTCCTTTATTTTGGTTAGCTTTGAGCATATTTCACGCAGCATTTGGCGTTAGTTTTGCTTCGATTTCGTTGTGCTTTTTATTGCTCTTTGGGCAAACCGATGGCCTGCGCAGAGTGCTGGCAACAACTTTTGTTAAACATTTGTTGCCAAAGCCCGTTTAATTTCGACTGCCAGCAAAATGATTTAGGAAAGACGCACGTTTCGGGTAGCCAACTGCTGTTGCCAAGGACATTGCCGCTGTTGAAACTTTTTTTCATTTAATTGAAATTTTATGTAAAACATGCATTTTGTTTGATGCAGTTTTTTGTATTTGTGTTTTTTTGTGTTTTTTTTTTTTTAATATTGCTCGCGACTGCATAGAGAAATGTAAAATGGATAATATATTGCAAATTTGTATAAGCATTTGAATTATATGCTGATGGGGCTAACTGGGAAGCAATGGTAGCATAACTTGACCTTTGCCAAAATGAGATAAATTTCGTTATATTTCAATGTTTGAACTTTTGGCCACAGTGCACACACACATAAATTACATGGCCAGGGGGCTGCGGGCGATAGCAGAAGCTTTTTTTATTGCAACCGAAACTCTACCGGACTTTTATCTTAAGCTGGGCGAATAAAATGAAATGAAATAAAATGTTGGGTTTCTACCAAAATGCACGCAGATAAGCACAACGTTGTTGCTGGATCGATATGTGCTTATACCCTTCATGTCAAAGATGGAAGGGTATACGCACTGAATGGCTGCAAGAGCAGGCTGTAAAGTGGCAAAGAAAAATCTGTTATACGAAATTATTTTAAAGTTACTTACAGGGTATCCGTCAGCTCAACAATCTTGCTAGCTGTTATTTTTGCATTGTTTTTAACAAATTGACAGACAAACTCCGTGCATATATCTCAGCTAACAGGATGAGACAGCCCGACAGACCGACAGAAAGTAAGAGCGCCAGCTGCAGGATGTGGATGTGTGACTGAAGTGTTTGTTGAGTGTGTGTTTCGAGTGCAATCAGCACAATAACAACAACAACAACAACACAACAACAACACAACAACAACACAACAACAACAGCAACAACTATATATACATCAGCAATAACAAGAGAAAAAACAACACTATGGCCAAGGACTTGAAGTTCCAGGAAGTGTTTCAGCGTTGATGGCTGTTGAGAAGTCTTCCTCCGGCAGACAACAGCAAGAGCACTTCTAAAAGTGAAATCCATGTTAGAAGAGTTATTGGCGGCAATCGGAGTATGCAGATAAGCTGTTAGTTATCAGAAGGTGTCTAAACACAAGCGTTCGCATTGCCAGGAATCTTTCAAGGTATTTTTAAGCCAATAGATTGCCAACAGGCATTTTGGGTTAGACAAATTGAAAGCTATGTTTGCGTTCGCAATGATGATTTTTACTTACATTTCATTTATACTCGTAGAGATTTCCATTTATGTATTAATATTTATTTCTTTTTATTCAGTTTGCATTTTCTTCTGGCCACTTATGACATTTATTCATAGTTCACACTTAAGAATTTTCAATTTGGTTATTATCCACAACATTTTATGTTAATTTTATTTTATGTCTTACACATAATTATACAATGTTTTTTGCAATTTATTCGTACAAATATTTACAAGAGTAATACGCTGTTCACTCAGGCAAAACCATTTTGGCGTCTGTTGAGCTTAGCTACATACATATATATATTTATTATTTTCTTTATTGGAATTTACTATAGGAGTACAGTAAGGTTAATTAATGTTATCATTATCATTAGTTTAATAATTTGATCAATAAATGTATTTTGTTTATGTGGCAAATTTTACAACTGTCTTCAGCCTCTGCTGCTAGTCAGTAGAAATTGTTTAAATATTTGTTTATAAGTAGGTTAGTGTTTACTCTTCGTAGTTGTGTTGTGTTGTTCTGTAAACCTTTTTTTTTAGCTATTAAATAATCATAGTTATTATAATATATATAATTAAATTTTTGATCACATGTGTTTTTTGTTTTGTTCTAACTTCACTTTGTTTCACCCCGTTTCAACTTTAAATATGTTTTGGTATTTTTGTTTTACAAAAGAAATGCTATTGTTTGTTTTAGTTTATGGTTTATTGGGTGGCCTGCACGGTACAACCCCAACCGAAACCAAACAAACAATTGCAGCTTTGTTCACATTTCAGTTGAAAATTGTTTGTAAAATTATATTTGTTGTAATCAATAATATAAAAATAATATGTACCTTTGTTTTCTGTATATATTTTATTATTTGTGAAATATGCTTTGTTCATTTTATGGTGCTTGATAAACATTTATTGTTTTTCAATTCTTTTATTTTTGAACAGCTTTTGTTCAATGTCATCTCTTGGTATTTGCTTCATCATCTATTGATGTTGTATATTTTTTAATGGATTTCTGAACTTATATGCAATGTTTTTGGCGGGTTGACTTTTATTTGAATTTCATAGTACACAATACTTAGTTCCCATTATTTGAATATCGATTAAAAATTATGGTTGAAGCCCTCAAAATTCTCAAACGATGCGAAACGTGCGTGTGTGGTATTCGTTCGCATGCGTGTTAGTGTGCGCGCGAAAGCACCTGACTAATTAATTGTTTAATTTTAATTAACTCATTAAAAGTACAAATTCTACCACTTCGGTTAAGTTCATAACGAAATTAAAATGTAATCAAATAACGCTTTGTATTAAATTGAATTGTTTTTAATAATAGGTTAATATAATAGGCTAATGGCCACGCAGCTTTTCATTTGTGCTTAAAAACTGCACTCATTACATTACCAAGCTGTAGTGAAATTCCGGCCAAATATGAAATACGATGAAGTGATATGAAATAAAAAAAAAAACCAAATAAAAATGTTCATACATTGAGCTTGTCAGTTTTCTTTATAACAAAAATGTTCAATGTTCTTCGTAGTTTGCCACATATATATAGCTTCCATAGGCATATTTAAATATATATTTAATTTTTATATAATAACTTTTTCATAGAAAAAATACGCAATGAAAATTTGTTAATGCTCTTCGCCTGAAACAGGACATTTTGAGACGATCTGTTTTTTTTTGCTTTAGTTTGTATTTGAGTGTTTTCACTTTTCATATTCTTTGCTTATTTAGCCAGCTTTTGTCTTTCCTTTTTTTTATTTGTTCAGTTTTTGTGCGTTTGCCTTACGCTTGTTTTCTTGCTTTTGTCTGGGTCTTAGCTACGATTTTTGTTTCTTTCTCTTTGCGGATCCTTGCTTTACTAAGTGCTAAAGATGAAAATAAACATGACAATGATATTTATACAATGTTGGCTAAGCTATGGTAACCTTAGTGTTGAAGTGGTTGCCAGGACGAGAAGGGCAGAGAGGATATAGTGGGTGGGCATATGTGTGCGTTAGTGTGTGTATGTGAAGTATAGCCGCCGCTATGCCACTTTGTATTTGTTTATGTGCACGGCCAGCTGTGCACAATGTTGCCAGGCAGCAGCTGCCGCTTGGAGTCTGAGCGATTGAAAGTACATGTGTGTGGGTGTACGTAAACAAGTGTGTGTGTTTGTGTGTGTGTGTGTGTGTGTGTGTGTGTGTGTGACACACATACTTGAACACACATACACTATAAAAACAAATGCTCGCATGTAACGACGAAAAAACTTTGTCAATTAACCTAAAACAAGTTTCACTTTACAACACGTACGCTTGACATAATTTCTTCTCTCTCTTCGCTGGCTCCTGGCATTGATGTGTGGATGTGTGTGCGTGTGTGTGTATGCGAAAGCATGCAAAAACTTTACATATGAAGAAATTATCACGTTCTTGGTCCTTGATACCGACAGTAGGATCTGCCCATAATGTCCTCAGCTGGAATTGACTGATCAATCGGCTGCACTCGCAATAACTCCATTTGATCACGCACCTGAAATGAAAACCAAATCTAAAATACTTCTCAAATAAAACTTCTGTGCCATGCGGCGTATGCGCAATATAAATGTAGTTTGATTAGGTTTGCCAACAGCTGCGCCCAAAAACTAATAAAAGTGTATGGCATATGCGAACAACTTTTGTATATTCAATTGGCACATCTCAAGTTTTCAGCTGTGCAAAGCAAATGGGCAAAGTTTTTGCTTACTATTCAAATGGAAGTTCAATTTATTTTGAGTCTAAGATGCATTTTGCGTTATTAATTACTTAAAGGTTGAGTATATGACTGGCCTAATAGATATTGAATCTTAAGCACAAAGTGAATGTGCCGTATACTAAAAATTGAGTCAAAGTAATTTAAATATATTGTCTAAATAATATATAAAATATATTAAACGAATTCAAACATGTAATAAATACTCCCATAGCCTTTGAATACACATTGGTTGATTTGTAATGTAGCTTGTCATCACAATCCCTTTAAATCAAATTAAACTGCTCAATAATTTTGAAAAAGAAAATGTTATAAATAATGAACAATATAATCAAATCAAAAGATCAAATGTCATAAGAATTTAATATTTAATTGAAAGCAAAGCAATACTTATTTGTAGAAGTACTGCCCTGTATAATCCGTAAAATATGTTCTGCTTAAAATTTTATATACAACTTTTTCAACCAGTTGGTCCCCGTGGAAAATTAAAATTTGCCCGCGATATCTTGATCTACACGCTTTTTTAAAAATATGCAGAAAAATAAGTTTTCGCTCATCGCATTTTCCACCCATGAAGGGCGGGCTATGCGAAAGGTGTGATGCGCGTCTCAGATTCATTTTTATAAAGATCTTTGAAAATGATTTTGAAGCCGAACGGTTCTTAATTAAATAACTTGCATACAACAGTTTTCTCCGCCTTACCACTGTTGCGGGTGGAATTTCCATAATCTCAGAAGCATGTATCCATTAAGTTATTATGCATGAGCATGAAAATAAGTTTCAAGCCAGTCGAACAAAACTTCAAACTTCGAAGGATTTTTCATAAAGATCTTTGAAAATGAATTTGAACGCGAAGCTCGCGATTTTTCCACACTTGCAAAACCTCGTATTAGCGTACGCCTCCACAGTATCTACAGTAAAAATTTCAGCTTCTTATACTAATTTATTTTGTGTAACCCATTATTAATCCAAGTCAAAAATTAAATAGCCCCATAAATGTATCTAGTATATCTTAAATTATTTTTTAAACAGATATTTAAAAAGTACCCAAAGTCGAACTTTTATCACAGGAAACATATTTCTTTTAAATTTCAGCAAACTTTGCTGTTTTCCGTGCCAGGCTTTTAATAGCTTTAATAGCTCTAAATAAGCTTTAATTATTTTTATTACTCTTTAAAGAAGTTAACTAAACTTATTTTGACCTAAAAATGTTTTTCTAACAATTTCGAATGGCGTAAAAAACAGTTACTTTAAACTGTAGTAACAACTTTGCAAATGATATGAAAAAATTGGTAAACAATTTAAAGGAATTTAATTTGTTTGGTAACTTAAGCTGGGTCACTCGGACACGCGAGCTGCAGAAACCTGTTTAGCAAGAGAAATTCTCATCGTTATACAGATTCCAGCCACTTATAAAGTAATCATATTCCCATTAAATTATTCAGTCTTACAAAGCCATTCACAGGCTGTATTGGCAACGCATAACAACGAGTCCTTAAAGGACTTCTAAGCCCACAGTGAAGCTCATTCTAGCCTTTTGCGTATTGTTTGGCCAACTTAGTGTGTGCTTTGCAGAAAGTTTAAGGCACATTTTATGCCGCGCAAAAAACAGACGAAACGGGAGCCACAATAAAACAAAATATATGCAAAAACAAAAACAGAAAAAGGCAAAAAAATAAAAATAAAAAATAAAACATAACAAAAAATGTTTTGTTTTCAACACCAAACACCTTTTGAGGCCGCACAGCTGCGTCGGCGCGGGGACAGGGCAGAGGGCGAAGAAAAGGCAGCCGCAGTAAGAGAAGGGCAGCAGCCAGCGAGGATAGGGCGGGTGAGACAGGCAGGGGGAGAGGCAGGGGCAGCAGCCCACTCCTCCCATTTCCGGTGCTTTGTTTGCCGTATAACAATCGAATTTACGACTTTTTTATGAGGCTTTATGTGCGCGCTGCTTGCCACATACAAACAACAATAAAACGTCAGCTTTGGCTCAGACTGTGAGCCGCAGTCATTGCACTTTGGCCACGCCCACTCCGCCCATCAGCACATAAGTTCTTTGTGGGATTTGCCTTTGGCTACGCTTTTCCGGCCGCTTTGAGTTGCATTAATGAAAAGCACATTTCACTGTTACATTTGAGTGAAAAGTTCAAAGCGAAAATGGCTGTTAAAGAGCCGCTGCGCCATTTTCATGCTAACCAAATCAATTGTAAGAAGGTCAGTTCGCGCACACAAACACAAACACACACACACACCCACACACATACATCCATAGAGGCTGAGTACAGACACAGGCCGGCAAAAGGATATTTAAATGAATTTGTCTCGCACAAATTGCTGCCATTTGCCGAGGACTTTTGCCCAATGCCGCCACTTGGGCTATGTGTCGTGCCAAATGCCTTTCCATGCTCGCATTAGATACTCTCATAAAAGGCTAAAATAAAAGATACATTTGCACAAACACAAGCAACGACCTCAGCCGAGCCTCAGCTGCCTTGACTGCCTCTGCTTTTGTCTAGATAAAAACTGGCGTCAAGAAAATTATCATGTTCATGGCTATGGCTGCTGGGCCCGTAGCACCATCAAAGGGCCACCCACACTTCCCCTATGCCCCCCCCCCCCCCCCCAACCACCGCACCCCTTCACCCACATACCCAGCCATCATTTGTGGTTGTTGTTGGGTCGCATTGAAAAGGCGCCACAGCATGAACTGAACTGAAGCATTCCCACGAGCTGCCTCAAATCTCTATTGCCCTAATTTCGCTTATTTTTATCACTACGACACACTTATGGGTTAATGGTAGCTAGTGGGCGTTATATAAAATTTAAAGTACTTCAAGCAAAGTTTCCTTTAAATTAATAAAATATTTAATACAATACTAAAACTTATAGGAGGCATCAAATGATTAATTGTAATAATAGTATTATTCTTATTATGTATTATAATAATATTATATTAAAATATTATTATTAGTAATAAGAATAATAACTAATACTAATTACATACAACCCAATAATTACTATATACTAATGATACTAATCAAATAAATTTACCAATGATAGAAAAAACTGTAATAATAATAATCAAAGTAAAAGTACCAAAAAAAGGAATATTATTTGATTAAAAAACCGTCAAATTAAGGACTTTTGTATAAGTTAATTGTATAGCATACAAATAAGCTCTATATATTGCAATTTTTCATTTAATTATCATAAACTATATTCCAGAAACATTCAAATCTTAAACAGTAAAAAACAAATCAAGTCAACAAATTTAATTTATTATATTTATATTAAAACCCCAAAAAATATATGAGACCCGTCGAATTTAAGCTGTTTTTATTAAATTGGAACACATAACAAGGACTACAAGTCACAAGCATAATAAGTCCTCGTGCGTGTCTGGCATGAAAGGGTACAAAACAGACATCAGTATGCGTGTGAGTGTTTGCATAAGAGATGACAATCATTAAAATGGCCTTTTGCCTAATTTCTATGACTTGCTTAATTATCACAACGATGCCAACGCCCACTCCAGACACCAACACCCACGCCCACACATATACACATAAACATATACAAACACAAATACAAACACAGAGACAGACGAGAGACACGACAAGGGTCCCTGTTGACCTACTGGGCCAATGCTTGGGGTTTGCGCTCTCTCCAGGGAAAGAGCATTAAGCGTCTAATAATGGAACATTTGAACAGGTTTTTGTGTTCATTTAATTGCATTACAGGAGACGCTGACTGCGATAATATATATATTTTATTGCAAATTTGGATCACCAAACTCGATAAATGGGCCTTGCTTAAGAGTTGTGCGCTGCATTTTTTTTTATCAAGCTTTCACCCGGCGTTGACACCGAAAGTATAAAATAATACTCAAATAAAAAAAGGGCGCCGGGCAACATTTTTTAATTACTTTGTGGCAGAATGAACAAAAATTGCTACAAGCAGCAAAGTATAACAATGCGAGCACAATTCTTAATGAGCATTATGCCATATAATAAACAACACTAAAGGCTGTAATATATATTTATATTTACTGTATAGCTGCCTTTCATGCGAATATATATGCATATTAATATATATGTATATGTATATATATCTATATTCTTTTTTTATTGCTCCTGAGTGCAAAATGCAATAAAAGCGCAACCATTTTAATCACCAGCTTTGCAAGAGTCGGCAACACTTTTTGCCGTGCCCCTTCGCATACATATTACTGAGTAAGTATGTACATGGCAGTGCTCATTGTAATCACATAGAGGAGCCATTGTCGGAATGTAGTTTACTTTTTGCTTAATGCACACAGAAAAGAAGCGCAGAACCAAAACTAATTACAATGTTGCAGACAGATAAGGCGTCAGCCTCCCTACTCAGAATAAGAGTGAGAGTCAGAGTCGGGGACAGAGTCATAGTCAGCGTCAGCGTCAGCGTAAGAGAACCAGAGAATAGGAATATGATTAAAGTTCGCCGACGCAGAGACAAGCGCCAAATTAAAAAAATGCTGTGGCATCTCTTTTTCGTGAGGCGCAGCTTATGGGGGTTTTTATAATGAGCAATAGCAATAAAATGAGCGCCTCAGGAGCAAAGTTCAAGGAGGGGGCGTATGATTTATTATTATTTGATATTAAATCTTTAAATGACCAGAGCCGTGCAGCTACCAACTCGACTCGGACATATTAAATTAGTTTTCAAACAATAGCAATTTTCTTAGCTCAGTTAATCAAGGATATTCGGGAAATGAGGTCCCAAATAAAATATTTGTTTCACATTTGATTTCATTCTTTCTTTTTATGAGAAGTTTAGTTAATAATTTAAAAATAAAAATACTTTCGTTTTAAATTTCATCTTTAAAAGTTTATTTCCAATTTAATCAAACTATGGACAATATTTGATAACGCATGGATGTGGCTTTAAATTTGGCAGACTTATTTGTTAATAACGATCAAAAAATAAGCAAAAACCTCAGGAAAATGCAGCTACATATTCCTGCTCTTGCTCAATAAAATTTACAAAACAGAGCAAAAACTTTTGCCAGATGAATATGTAACAATAAGGCTGGCAAAATCAAGCAGTTTCCTTTTCAAAAACAAAAAAAAAAGCTGTATAAGCCGTTTGTAGATGAACGAAATTCCTTTGCAACAGTTACCAAACAGTTTGAGCCTAAATGTTTGCTCAGGCAGTCAATCGACTGCAAAGCAAACTCTCTTGGAATACTTGGCTGAATGGCACTAAGCGTTGAGTGGCATTCGTAGTCGATGGAGTGACCTGCTCAAAGGACTCGCACACAGTGACTGACAGTCCAACATTCAGGCAATGCGTATTGAATTAAATTGAATTGAAGTAACAGCAACAGAGCTGCCAAAGGAACAAATAGAAGCTGCAAGCAAGCCGATCCTGGCCAGCTAAGCATACAGCAAACATGCTGACCACATCCGCAAACAAACTGCAGCAGCTTCTACTGCTGACTGCTGGCTGCTCACTGCTGGCTGCTGCCTGCTGACTGCTGGTCATGCTCATGTATAAATATCGGAATAACCATTTGAAAATCCTTTTAAAATTATTTCACAACTTGCGTCTTTTCGACGCCAGAGTCGCCCTAGTCATAGTTCCTCTCCGTTCTTGGCCCGTTCGCTATACGCACCAAGTATGTGCAAATTCCATTGCAAAGCCACATTATTCTCTTTATCCTTTGAAAGGAATTTTCCATGTGCAATAACAAGCAAGCCAGAGAATGCAGACGGCAGCAGCTACAGCTACAACTTCAGCTTCCTACTGGTTTTTTTCTTGAAGCTGCTCAACAGTGGCTCAGCTGGGGACACGTTTTTTGTTGGCTAAGAATTTTGCTTTTGTCTAGAGCTCTGACTAAGCCTTAATCCGCAAGGTAATACACAACTAGTCGAAGCCATCCAGAAAATGTTGGCAGTGCACACAGTGAACAATGGAATGCGAATGGCCAAAAATGGGTTTGACTAGCATATTTTTATTTTTTCTTTTTTGACTCTTTTACTCACCGCTTCGACTTCCTTGAAAACGCGTATGAGATTTCTTCCAGCGAGCTTCGCTATATCCCCCTCCGACCATTTATCCGACTCTAACAGGGTTGCAAAGAGATGCGGATATTTGGAAACATCCTCCAAGCCTTTGGGCACGCTGTCAAAATATCAGATAAACAAAAAATACCGTATAAATACCAAGGAAATACCAAAATCATACTCGAAATATAGCAAAACATAACAACAAACAAAAAAAAATGGTTTGTTTACTTACAGATTGACGCCATCGTAGCCAGCCCCAATGCCCACATGGTCAATACCAGCCACCTCGCGTATGTGGTTTATATGCGCTGCAAAGTGGATAGTAGGAAATGGGTTAATAACATAGTTAATTTTCTTTTAAATCGGCAAACCTACCCACGACATCGTGCAGTGTCGCCTGCCCCGAGCAGCTGACAAAGTGCGGATAGAACGCAACCATAACCAAGCCGCCGTTAATGGCCTGTAAAGTAAGAGAGCCCCATTAGACTAAAGTCCAGTATTTAATTGGCTTTCATTTGCAGCCTGTTTATTACGTACAATGCGCTGCAATACATGATCCGGTACATTGCGGGAGCTATTACATATGGCATGCGCCGAGGAGTGCGAGAATATGAGCGGCGCTCGGGATGTGGCCAATGCATCCAGCATTGTTGGCACCGACACGTGCGACAGATCGACAATCATGCCCAAGCGATTCATTTCCTTCACCACAAGCTGTCAAAAAGATTTGATTAAGTGGAAAAATCAAAAAGAATATTTTAACAATACGAATTAATCATTCCGCTGGGTACCCTTTAAAGTTAAGATTTAATAATAATAATAATAATAATTTGACCTGCGCAACTCCGAGTAATTCCCGCTCTTTGCATGTATGTATGCGTGTATGCAATCATGTATTTATTTCTGTCTGTTCTTATATTCCAATGCGCTGCATATGTATGTATTTTAAATACTGCCCCTCTAAGTGATTCTCATAAATTCAAGTAATATAGTTTTAAAAATTAATGTATGTCAAACTCTAACTCTAATTTGCTTTACTATATATATCTCTTCCTCTCCTCTACTCTTTCTCTTGTTTCTCTCCCTCTCTCTCTCTCTCTCTCTCTCTATCACTCTCTCTCTCCCTCTCTTTGCTTATCTATTAGAGTATACATAGGATAATTACCTTGCCAAACTGGGAAAGTCCACCTATGTGTGGATATTTGCCTGGCTCGTCAACTTTGCAGCAGTCCGCCCTGTAAACGTTGGTCTATTAATGCTCTGCCAAACAAATGGCTGTACCCGTTCAACTTACCAAGGTGTGTTGCAGGTGTGAGTGAGTGTAAGATATCGGGCGCCCAGCTGATAAAACATGCGCAGAACGCTCAGACTGGTGCCGATCGCATGGCCACCCTCGACGCCAATCAGGCTGGCGATTTTGCCCGTGCGATGGGTTTGCTCGATGCCCGCGGCGCTGGTGACCAGCGCCATGTGATGCGGATAGAGCAGCACCAGGCGTCGTATCAAATCGATCTGTTCCAGAGTTAGCTGCACCGCATCCAGATGCTGTGAGGAGCAGGGCGCGTAGGCGGACCAGAACTGTGCAGAGACCATGCCCTCTTTGAGACGACGCAGATCCGTATGGCTCCAGGCGCTCGAGGACCAGGGCGCCAGTTCGCGCAAATCGCCGCCAAAGTGAAAGTCCTTCAGCTGATTCTTGAGGAACTTGCGTATATTCCAAGGCAAATCGTTGTGGCCATCGATCAGTGGCACCTCCTTTAGCACGTTCCGCACACGCTGCATGCGATAGTCGAAGTCCGCGTCGCCACTGCCGCTGCCGCTGTTGCTCCCGCTGCCTGTGCCAACGGCCGTGCATCTTAGGATGGGCAGCATCAGCGGTAAATAGACAAGGGTCAAGCAGTTGAGGCCACAAACCTTGGGCAGCTTCCTCGATTTCATTGCCCCCAGGAGCAGCTAGCAACACAGCAAAAGCCACGCAGCACTCACATTGATGATGTTTGTCGCTCGAACTGTGGGCGAAAACAAAATATAAATATATGTATATCTAGTTGAAGTAGAAATAGAAATCCGTAGTGGAGCACGCTTACAGCAAGAATATTGCATGTGATTACTATTTGTTTAGCTGAGCCGATGGCGTGATTGAGCTATTGAAACTTGTTGGCAAACAAATGCCATAAATATAACGCCCACGGACTCTTTGGTTCTCGGCTCTAGCCACGGCTTAGTCCTGGCCGCAAACATAAATAAAACTTTTCATATTTATTTCCGAGCCAACTTCGATATCGAGCCCGCGCACCAAATGCATAAAAATGCACAATAAAAATGCAAAAATTATTTATAGCAAACTTTTTGCGAGCGGATCAAAAAAAAAAAAAACAAAAATAAAATATAAGTAAAAAAGGCCAACACCAAATTTAAATAGTTCCCACAGTGGGGCAAAAGTTTCCAAAGCGACACCAACCGTGAGTGCTAGAGTGAGACAGCGTAAATTCTTGCCAAATATTTGGGCGTGTGCGGCAGGCGGCAGGGGTTCGAGCTTTTCTTTTTCACGACTCTAGTGGGACGACATAAAGTTTTTCCTGAACTGCAGGTGGGCGGGCAACAAAACACTAAATGTTGAAAGGAAATTGAAGCCAGCTTTGAGCTGGGCGCTGCGAGCAGCATATGAGTAAGCCACAGTTGCCGACAGCTGCCGAGGGTATTGACCGGCGGGCACTTCCCCTAGTGGCCTCTCGCCACCCCTCACTATCATTGAGATTTCTATTTTATTTTTCTTCCTTTGCGGCATTTCGTTTTCACAATTTTCTTTACGAAACTCAAATTAAAGTTTTGGGCCAACAGCAAAACTCAACTCAACTCAACTATACTAAACTTCCCTAATAGTTTTTAATGCATAAGTCAGCTTCATATAAAACTAGATGCCAAGAAATAAAATGCCAACTTAAGTATTGCGTAGATAATAATGTTTATGTGCGGCAAGTTGACGGAAACTGATTTTGTGAGTGAATTTCTTTGAAGAATCTGCCGAGAACCAAAATAGAGCATATATTACACTTATAAGAGCAGCTTTTCAGGCAGCTTTAACTAATGATCATAATTATTTTTATTTTTAATATACTAATGTCATCAAGTAAAATGGAATGAAAATAGAATTAGAATAGTTTTTTAATTAAGTTATATTATTATATTTAAGCAATCTAAAACTCATAAGCTATTTTTATGGCCTGTGTTTTATAATATACCATTGAGGTATATTATTATTAATTCATCATAAAATTATTATTATTATATGGTTTTTATATTATAATTCTTAGGTAGCCTGCACCTACTGTCTGCTTAATTACCCAAAGATACTATATGTCTTATATCACATATTATCTTATTATATAAACTTAACAACCCAGCAAAAAAATGCACAGTACTAACCAAACAAAGCTCTTCATCATCATAAATCTTCTGGTTTAATACATTAAGTTTTAATAATTGTAATAATTTTAATAATTATTTTAATATAGTATTATTCGCGCGTACTCCGATCCAATTAGAGCATCCCACCTCCCGCCCAACCGAACGAGTTGCGCATTCGTGTATCACACGCCCCCCCGAAAAGTGAATACAAGCTACGACTATATACTTGCCAAATAGTTTAGAATAGACGACTTTCAACTATGCATGGCATAGTTAGTTGTACAAAATTGAAGCGATAAGATTGTGTAATTACGTTTTAGTAAGGACAGAGAAGAGTAGTTGTCTATTGACCCGTAATTAAATTATGAATAAATATTACGTAAAGCAAAGTTAGTTGCTACATTCAGAAAAAAAAACAATATGAAAACAACATAAAATTTAGAAATTCGCCCTTGAAATCGGGCTTGTCTTTTTCGAAAAGCAATTCCTTATTTTTTTAAGGAGTATCAAAATTGTCTGAAGAGGAACAAATAAAAAGATTTCTAAAAAGGTTTGCTTTAAATAGATCGCCATTGAAAACTATAATTTAAGGAACATTTTCTGATTTATTTATTTACTATTATTTATTTTAAGTATTTACTATCATATGAAATATACTTTACAAAAATGCTTGAATAGCTAGAAAAATATATGTATAAACATTTAAAAAATTGATAATGAAATCATTTATTTATGATTAGACATTTATTGTTATCCTATTTCTAACTTCTACTTTGCGGCTCGAGGTTTTAATTCAAACATGATATTTAATGTTGAAGCTGTTTAAATAGTTTATACTCAGCTGCACAACAAAAGTTTTGATACACAAATTGTAAGCACCAGAGAGATACAATTTTTGCTTTTATTCACAAACTTTTAAAAGATAAAATACGTTTGTGCACATTTCTTGTACATGAACATGCTTTAAAAAAAAAACTAAACATACGTTTCAGCAAACTTCAATTGAAACACATGCAAGATCTGATATATTTGCTTAAGTGAATAACAAAAGAGAAACATAGATTTATAGATGCATTCGACCAGAGTTTAACTTAAAATCAATCAATATTCTTTTTGATAAATTTCCATAATTGATTTTATGTTTGAATTCAATGCAAAATGCTTGCCATCGATATATTTCCAATTAAAAACAATCACGTATCATTCCAAATGAGCATGCAGTTCGCTTTGTGACAATTGTTATTTTATACAGCAAATGGCAACTTGTCCTCGGAAAATGCAATTTTCATTCAGCTCATTAGTCCAATTGTGATGGCAGTTCTAACTGTAAACATGTTGTCTAAATGATTTGCAGTTTTCTACGGCACTCAGAGGCGGACAATTCGTATATTTTGTGCTCGTCTATTTTCAAGACTTTCCATTTGAAATAGTTTCTGTTCTTCATTTTTTTTATTTTTATATATATTTGTTTTGTGGAATTCACCATTTTTTCATTTTTACAAACTTTATATGGCATCTGCTGGTGTGCATTTTGTAGAGCATACAAACTGGCGAAAAAACATGCACCATGGTGTGCAGAGAAGTGGAAGAGGGAGTGAGGCGCTAGAGAGACGAGAGACGGGAGGCATGAATTCGTATGTTGATTTTCATGGTCTGCTGCCTGGGCACAAAATGAAAACATTTCACTCTACGAACTTTTGCGAGGATATCTTATCTGCCCGCTATCTCTCTCCATCTCTCTTATTCTCTCTTTTGCTCTATTCCTTGTGCCATTTTTAAGACAAAAAACCTTTAACATTTTGCCTTATCGAAAATTATGCAAAATTGACAATGTCAATAAGGACGACAGCAACAAGGACAACACGCAGCAAATTTCTCGTCATGCGAAACGTGACACAGGCGCAACGCACGAATTGTTGCTACAACAACAACTACAACAATTAATGACACGCCAAAGGGCCGAAATGAGCGCCGATTGGGTTAACAACAACAACAACAACATCGAGCTGCCAACAAACAACAAACGGCTGCAAAATCGAAAATGTCTGACGCTTCGTTAAACATTTATGCCACTGACGGCAACTGAAGGGCCCAATATTTGATCTTTGATTTAATTGCCATACGATACATTTCATTGTTCAGCAAGGCACAAAAGGAATTACAAAGGAATGCATTAGGGCTCCACAAAACAACAGAGTGCAAATAACCGAGTTGAGCCAATATGCCTTGAATTACACTCATCCACATCTAAATATCTTTTTGCAAATGATGCCCAATTCTGTCAGTTTAAGAAATGCTACTCTCAGATTATAAAATATATAAAAAAAATGACTTTAATATTAAAGGAAAACATTCAACTGCCCCAATTTTCATTCTGTTTTGAGGGCTGCGTCGAATAACATATGCTACACAAAGATTTTATAATCTAGTCTAGTAAACATCAAGAAAGCACAGTTGATATGCGACTGCCGAAGATTATATACCCTTGCAGATCCTATAAATAAATATATATATATTGAACTAAAACTTTAAAACAAGATAAATGTTTATAGTCAAAGTGTCTTTAAGGAAATTCAAATTCCAGAGTTTAAATTGCAGATTCAAATTGAAATATTTTGAAAAATCAAAATATTTGTAAACCAAAACTGAGTATCAAATGTTTATAATAATAATGTTAACAAGACTTTGGAGTTTTGTAGTATAGTATAGAAAACAAACGATGTCTGAATCGTTTCTACAGTCTATATATATATAATAGAGTGATACGATAAGTCTATAAAACATGATACAGAATCGGAAATGGTTTCTACAATGAGTTGCGCGTTTGCTGATAAAATAATAATACCCACCGTTAGGGTATACCTAGAAATTATTTTATTGTTCGCCCAAAATGTAATATATTGCAATATTTTCAAGTCTTTTGTGGAAATTGAAGAGTATTTACTTCGGGGGAATATACTCTTATGCGAGCAGAGCACAAATTTCGGTAGGTTGTCAGTTGGCACACACAAAAACACGCACATACACGCATGCAGATGCAAATACGCGTGCTGGGAGCCAGACAAAATGGGCGCAAGGATAACTGCGTACAACATTGCGTATGCGCGTTGCCTCTGCAAATGCGAATGCGAATGCGAATGGAAATGGGAAGAGGTGAGTAGGGGGATGGGAATGGGAAAGGGAATGTCATGCGACTATAGGGGAAGTGGGTGGGTGGGCTGGAATGTGGAGAATCGTACATTTATTGCAACATATAAAACATTATTTTGCATGGCCTCAAAAAAGAACGGCGCTCAACCGACACATAAAAAAATGAAGAAAAGCGGAGCGCGCGTTGGAAAATTGCAGCAAGGAAATGCGACGTCGTCGTTGTCGCTGATGTCGCTGACTGTGACTGCGACTGTGACTGCGACTGCGGCTGAAACTGAGACTGCGATGTCCTGACTGCTGTTGGAATTCTCATACAAAGTAGCAAGCAAATAAATAAAAATAATAAAAATATACGTTTCTTTCGACATTAGCGCTGCATTAAAGGAAGTGGCAGAGCGGCTGCCGGCGAGTTGGCAAACGACAACCGAAGTCAGGACCGGCTAGTGCCGCACTTGTCGTCCTTCATTTCCATGCGCAGCCAAGGAAAGGAAACGTGCCGTAAACTACAGCAGACAATCAAAATGCATTCATGTGCGCTTACTTAACGTTATTTATAATCAACTCTACTATGCACCTCCTGCAACCCCCTCCCCAGCCCTGACCGACAATTGCTGCTTTTCGTGCTGCTCCTGTTGACTTTGCTACCGCCGTTTGCCTTGCTTCCCCATTTCATTTGCAAGTATTCAGTCGCTCCCCATTCATTCAGCTCCAAATTCCATTCAATACGAATTGTTGCGAGCCATCAGTCGCACAGAATTTCCATTTGCTCGCAATTCCCACGCCTTGCCTTTGCACAGTCGAGCATTCCTTGGGGCTGCACGAGTCCTGCACCATGGCATGCCCGCTCCATGTTGCCCATAAGCATAATATAAATTTTCGTTTTTTTTTTTATTGAATGCCTAGCTGTAATAATAATAACACTAATAACTCGCCTTATAGTGCTTGAAGGACTGCCCGCGGCGTATTATTCAAAATTTCAAGAAACGAATTCTGCTCGACTTGCAACAATTTTCCATTTTGATAAGCATCATAAAGCACATTGAAGTAATGTTAAGAATCAAAAGCGTTGAGTTGAACCTTTAGCCATATAAACAACCCTCAAGCGTGCTTTAAAATTTTATTGCGATTTCATAAAAAAAATGTTCCCAAATAGACATACGAATTGGGAGAGTTCAATTATTTGTCTGCTTATTGAAGTGCTTTAATATATTTTCTAAAATTTAATATATTTTCTAAAATGATTATAAATGTAAACCATTTGTTTCGCAACAGCAGCAACTGTACAAGAAAACGCTTTAACTGCTAAATTAGAGCTGAAAGCATTGCAAGACCCTCTTCAATAAGCTATTAATTCTAATTCTACTGTTATTCCACTTTCAATTAAAACTCATGAGGGAAACAAAAGTAAGCATACGGCACAAATTAATTAAGTGCAGCCCCAAATAAAAAAGGAGCCTTATGTTGTTGAAAATGGAAAAATTCCGTAATGTAGAAAGTTAAATAAAAACACACAGCACCACCTGATATCGTGGTATGTGTGCGTGTGTGTGTGCTCTGTTTGCATTCACATTTTTATTTTCATACATTTTCATATTTGTTATTTTTGGGCTGTTTTTTACTTATTTCACTGCTTTCTTGTTGGCAATAAACAACTGAAGCTGAACACAAAACTGTACAAATGCTAACACAGTCAAAGAAATACATGTAAATTTAGCACACTTTTTAGGGCCGCACCAATACAATGCCAACTACAACGACCGCAACTACAGCAATGCGCGGGGACCTAAAGGCATGCGTGCGTAAGAACGAATTGAAATGATTTTACAACATTTTCATATTTTAACAGCATGTTGTTTCTTTACCTTTGCAGAGGGTATTATAATTTTGTCTCCAGTTGTGTAAGGCATAGAAGGAGACATCTCCGAGCCCATAAAGCATATATATATTCTTGATCAGTATCAACAGCCGAGTCGATATAGCCATGTCCGTCTGTCGGTCTGTCTGTTTCTATGCAAATCTCTCAGTTTGAAAGCTATCGTCATGAAATTTTGCAGAAGTGCCTCTTTCTGTCGCACGCAGTAACTATGTCGAAACCGGCTGGATCGGACCACTATATCATATAGAAACCAAGATATGTTGAGAAACCTCGGCATTTATTAGTTTTACGATGCGTCCCATATATATGCAAAATCCTATCAACATCGGATCACTATATCATATAGCTGTCATAAGGTTTACCAGATATCTTGACCATACTCATTTATAAGTTTCCCTATGTTCCCTAAATATATGCAAAATCTTGTTTACATCGGATCACTATATCTTATAGCTGTCATAAGAACGATCGGTCTAAAATGAGGTTTTCGTATGAACAACTTTTTGTTTTTTAAAATATCTTAGCCATACTCGGGCTTAACTATTTTCGCTGTGCTCCTTAGATGCGGGCATCTAATTATGAGCATTATGAAAAGGTAGGGTCTGCAAGGGTATTAAATCTTCGGCGTGCCGAAGATAGCCCTTCTTTCTCTTTTGATTTGCCTTTGCTTTTGCCTTGACTCTTGCTTTGGCGCGATGTCCTTTTATTTTGTTTTATTTTTTTTTTTGCCTTTGGTGCGTATAATTTATGCACGATTTGGAAACCAATTGGCAACCAGCCACTAATAAGTTAAAATTCTCGCCCTGCTCTGCCCACTTAAATGCTATCCAATACGTCCAGATTGTAGCTTTAACCAATAGCAAATAGTTATTAATTAAATTTCCTAAAGCAGCTCACCAATTGCTATAAATAATATTTATTAAAAAAAACTTTGCGCTTAACATTAAAATGTCCGCATTATTTAATTGTTATTTAAGCTATATAATTTCATTTGTGTTTCCTGCGTATTTTCTACTTATGATGAATGTGTAAATTTTTATAATTAATATTAACATACATGTTTTTTTTTTCAACATTACAAATTATTTACACGTCCCTCATTTTAATTATGCATTTTTTTCTTTTCGTTATAATGCAATTTATTTACTAACTGACAGAAAATCAATTTAAAACTTTAATTAAATTAAACGATATCATTTTGATTTTCGCAATTTTAATAAATATATTCATTAAAATTAGAATTAATCTGTAGAGAGAACTTGCATTAAATAATCTTGCGCTTGAAGTGGGATTGGCATAAAACTCATGAACTGACACAAAAGATGACTGCGACTTCTTGAGCGTGTAACTATTTTTTGCATCAAATTTATGGCCCAAATATGAGTTAAATTTGATGTTTTTTAAAGAACCTGAATATTTAAGCCACAGCTTGATTTAATATAATTTCTCATATAAATTGTAATGAAAATAAAATTGCCTAGTTGTAAAGATTAAATTAATTGATAAATTTGCAGATTGACAAACGATTCGACAAGCTAAATAATTGGACAAAGGCATATTAGTCAGATTTGGCAACTATTTTGTCTAATTTATTGCATTTAATTTGAACGAGAAAATATGAAACTAATATAAGTATTGGCCAAATATTTTCATACGTTCAACTATAATTTGCTTAAGCCACAAATGCATTCCAATTCAAATGCTTGCACGCAAATATCTTTTGTTTCAAATGAATTTCTGCAACTGCCTGCAACATAATTTATGCTTTGAATTAATAACTTTGAAATATTTTTTAACTAGTTATAGGTATTTTTGCATATCACTTTTAGGATTTGTCAGAAACAATTCCTCTTTCTACATTATTTAAATAGTTAAAGCCAAAACACTTTAATCGATTTTGCAGTTAGACATCAACAAGAGGAAAAAGCCAACCCATTTCGGAGGATATTGCCCAAATAACAATTGTGTCATAAGATTCAATGCTCAACCGTTGGGCAGAGGCATGACCACGCCTCATGGGCACCTGCTGAGAGGTAACAAGGACTTTAATAATGTCACATCAAAAGCCTCGCAAGAAAGAGGAAATGGGAAATGGGAGGTAGTAGTGTCTGAGGGGGATATTCAGCTCAAAGTTCAAAGCAAATTGTTGCGGAAGGCAAAAATGAACATTATCATCAACAGGAGGCAGGGCGATAATGCTCGGCTACCAGCTATAGGATACTCATTTCAACAAATGCAGATACCAAGCGAAAGGTTCGCAATGCACACACACAGTACCATTAAATGGCATTGTCTGTGGGTGTGTGTGTGTGTGTGTGTGTGAGTGAGTGTGTGTATTGGCTATGTGACTGCGGGCTGCAGGACTTTGGGATCCCAGAGACGGGGGCAGCGGGTGTTTTGACAACGCACAGCATTCGCATGTCGCCTGCTGCATATTAATGAAGTGGCTGCCACTGGCAGCGCCAGGCGAATGGGACGGATGAAGCGGATGGGGTTGGAGTTGGGGTTGGGGTTTGGGGTGCCTGAGGGCAGGACGAGTCCGGTTTTGCTAGAAGCACTCATCAATTTCTCAATATTACGAATTTCGATGGCAAAAAAATCTGCATATGAACCGCAGGGGCACAAAATGTGGCAGATAAATACATATAAATAAGCAAATACACACAGATACACTTCTACAAATGCGTATGTCTATACGTTTACAGGCATAGATTTATGGGCCTTTCTGCTTACCAGAATTGTGCAAACCGTTTAACATGCTCGCCCGCTTATACGCTGAGACTTTAAGCTCTGACTCCAACACTTTTCCGCCTGTTAATTTTGTGATTTTTTTTCTCTTTTGCTTTTCTTTTTGTTTTGTTTTTGGTTTTAGTTCCCTTCTCTTTGCACTTCACATATAATTCACATAATTTTCTTGCCTTGATTCACACTCACGTCAACAAAGTCGCGTAATTACTGTCGCAGTTGCCGCCTCGAGGGCAATGGCAGCTACGGCGTATACGTAACGTAATTTGCCCGAAAGCGTATGCGTGTGTGCGTGTGAGTGTGTGTATGTGTTTGTGAGGCGAATGCAACACGTGTGGTTGTTAAAAATCCGCGCGATTACCACACAACTCATCCGGCCGAGGCACGAATTTGAACTGAAATTGAAACTGACGACAAATGTGAAACAGGACTCGCCGCACAGTGGGCCGCACACGAAGTCGCCACGAAGGGAACACGCGAGCGAACGGACGAGCGCTGCGTTGAGAGCAAGGACGACAGAGAGCGGTTTTCTGTCTGCGATTGTGGCTGCTGTCGGCTGCTGCGTTAGATAAGAAGTTAACTACTTGCTTGAGTTAACAATTTGACTAAGACAGCTAAGTTAATGTCCCTTAACCACACATCCTTGCATAAACACTTATCCTTTAAGCAGCTGGCAGCCTGGCAATGTCAGTTTTAAAATTAGAAGCTTTTGTTCTTTAAGCGCCATGTGATTATTCCCACCTTACCACAAGTTTGACCCATAATAGATGTGCTTCAACTATGCCACACAGGCTAAAGCGTGGGATATGTAGAGAGTGTGTGTGTCGAAGAGAGCGCGTGTGAAGTGCCAGCCAATTATTCTCTTTGACTGATAACGGGAAAATATCCACGAAAATAAAGGGACTTTTGCGCTTCTCTTAATCAGCTGTTTCAAGTCGAGTCCTTTTGCATTGCTGGAGGTCAGGCATGCTTTCAAGTGCTTCAGTAAAGTTGTTAGTCCTTACAATGGCTACAATAGGGCGCACGCATTTTAATGGTCAATCCTTTGTGTGTGAGTCCTGTTCCATAATATTCCTATCGGTCTGGCTTTCCAATGTTGCAATAATGCTAATCGAAATTAAACTTATATGTTTAAGTGTATTGAATACATTTCAACCTAACACTGGTTAGGTTAGGTCATAATCCTTAAGCTTTGACTATTCCTGTCGCCGTGGACTGGTCCACTCTCCGTTTACCCGTTCGACCTAATGGATGTGAATGTGTGTTTAGCAGACAGAAAGAAATCTTACAAAATCTATCTAGATTGCATGTACGTAATAAATAAACTCTACTTGAATTATTAAATAATTATTAAAAATGTTCATCATCTTTTGTATTGAATTTGAATATAATACTAAAACATGTACGCTGCCTAATTTAATTTTCTTTCCTATATGAAAATTCAAATGGAACATTTAATTTAATTAATTATTTTTATTTTCTATTTTTCATTCAATACAAAAAAAATTTAAAAATAAAATTAATTATTTCAACGCCAACAATTAATTAATTGTAAAAAAAATGTTAAATGACAATATTTACAAAAAGAAACAAATATCAACGTTACTTGATTTAATGATAAAGATTTTTTTTTTAATTTTTTAATATGTAGATATGAAACTATTTGTCCGGACTGATTGGCTGACTGACTGATTGGCTGTTTGACTAGCTGAGTAATTGGTGTTAAACGCACAGCCCAAGCCGTAAGGGCTAGAAAGCTGAAAGTTTCACAGTAGTTCCCTTATGTGATTGAGGTGCACGTTAGGGCGGGGTTTTAGTTTCCGGATGTGTGCAAAAATCGCCTGTTATTGTTTACCATTCAATCAACCTCATCAACTCATTTTTAAAGATCTTTGCTCACATTCATTTGAGGAATGTTTCACACTTTTCGGAAAATCCATTCCTCCTTAAATGAAGGTCCCTGATTGGTGGCTGACGTTCCGCATTCGAATTCATTTTCATGGCTCGTTATGAAAGTTCACTTGAGAATTTTTTACACTTTTCGTAGAATCCCAACCTTTTTTAAAGCCTTATATAAGTATAAGAATAAGTGATTCAGCGATTTAAGAAATTCCACCACCTACTGTGGTAAATTTGTGGATAACGGTTGTATGTAAGTTGTGTGTTTACCATCCAATCGATTTCAAAATCATTTTCAAAGATCTGTCTGAAAATTCATTCATCTAGGATAATAATTGCTTGTCAAAGGTTGAATGTATGCATGCTCGAATGTATTTTTCAAGCACTAAATAAAAACTTAATGAACTGTGGTCATTGGCAGAAAATTTGCAAATTTCAGTTTATAATTTTAAAGATCTTTATGAAATTGCATCTGGTAGATGTTTGATATTTTTCGCAAAAACCACCGCTCTTGGATGGAAAAGCACATCAACGGTTAAATAAACGATAGTTTTTTTTCGTTCTGAAGATTTTCTCCGCAGGACTAACAAGGGCGGATATCGTTGATGCAAACATTTAGTTATTTATACGATGTACTTCAGTCATTTTCAAATCCATGTAATCTACGTTAAAGTAAGCTTTAAACTTTAAATTTTCAAGTGGCGAGAAATGTAAAATGATGTATAAAATTTAAAGCACAATTCGGTACCATGCATATACGCTTGTTTGTTATATAAGTAATAAGTATAATAATCAAAAATCATTGAATTTCAGGCCCTGTCCCACATGCAAGTTCAAAAATTCAAATCGCAGCGCCGCAAGCAATAGAAATCAAGCAGTGTAAAGGAATGCAAGCAGTTCAAGCTCAAAAAGCACAACTAGCACAACAATTCAAGCTGTACGCAATGCTCACACCAACTGGCAAGCTTACCAGCTGCGCACACCGCAAGCTTTTAGATACCAAACGATTTTGGTATTTTTCATTTAGGCACAAAACTGTGCGCGATTTGACAACACAGAACGACCTCCAAACAACCTTTTGACGTTTCGCTTGCCTACGTTCGGCTGCCTTTTACTTATTTCGCTTTGGAATTTCTCGCCGCCGCAGCCGCAAGCCGAAAATAAAAGCGTCGCCAACTCAACTCCAGTGCAGCAGCAGCAGCAGAGCCAGCCGGTAGCCAGCAGCAGAGAGCGGAGCAAAATAAGAAAACACCCACACAGTTTCATTTTCCAGATCGGTGAGTGTGTGTGCAAACGTGTGTGTTGGTTTGTGTGTGATAAAAAATTTAAAAATTAAATTAAATAAACTAAATAAATGAAAAAGCGCAGTTCGTAATCTCGTTATATCAGTGCATTACTGTATTATTCTCAACCCAAGTTGGTTTCGTAATCGTTTTCGCAGTTGCTAAAGCTGAAAAAAGTTACAAAAAGTTCTCGCTGTGCGTGCGTATGTGTGTGTGTGTGTGCTTTTTTCTTTGGCTGGAAATTTCTAATATGCGAACTAGCTTTGAGATTTTATGATTTCTTCTTGAACTTTGTAGTGTTCCCTTTTGCTTATCGCAGACAACGTCGTTGACCTATGCAACTGATAAGAAACCTGAGTACGCTGTCAGCTATCGCATAACGGTGCTTACCATTGCATTGCCGGCTTACCAGGCTGCCCCCCCCCCCCCACTCCACCCCCGCCACCCATTCAATCCAACCAGAAACTGCTCTACCATCGTACTCTGCACTTTATCTACATTTTCACTTTTGAGTTCATTTGCTTGTTGGCAGCGTTTCAACTGCAATTTGCTTTATAAATAGTTGCCCCACGTCTTATGCATGCATACAGCATATATATACATTATGTATAATTGTCTATATACATCTATTCATTAGCGTTCGTTTAGTTTTCAATTAAATGTCGTCATTGCTGTGCGTTTGTTGAGTTCATCAATTGGCATTTCCCACCCAAAACTGAGAAACCTTTTTTCTCGCACATAATTAAAATCAGCCCAATGAGTACGAAAGAGAACGGGAGAGATGGAAAGCAAAGAATATGCTCTGTCCTGCTCGTGTGTGGCCGCCACTTTAGCAATTTATCTTGCTCAGAACGCGATATTCCCACATTGCAGGCCTTACATAAGAGAGTGATCCATCCATAGAGAGAGAGAGACAGAAAGGGAGAGAGAGAGAGAGAGAGAGAGAGAGAGAGAGAGAGAGAGGGAGTGGAAGCGGAATGGTAGAAGAATGTTAAGGGTGAAAATAAGACCAAATAATATTTAGAATCAACTACCCTTCAATTTGAAAGCGTAAAAACACGTTTGTGAATGAAACCCATTCTGATGTTAGTGTCAGAAAACGAATTCGCCTTCAAAACTCTTTGTTTATAATTATTACCTAGACAAACCCTATCAATAATGAAAAAATGTCTCATAATATTCAAATGGGAATGCCAAATCTTCAAGATATAAATATAAATTTTACTTAAGCATGTTTACATAAATGTTTGATATCTGCTTTTAATGCATAAATAAATACAACTAGAATACTTTTTAACGAAAGACTAGAATGAGGTGATATCTACGTGAAAGTGAATTTGAATAAGATAAAAAAATACATTAGCATAGATTATACATTTGATAAAATAAAACTAAATATATTAGTATTATATAGAATGCCCGAAACTGGATGCATCTTTCCTACATTAGTTTTTCTTTTTTAATATAAATTTTAATTTGAACACTTATATTTTATTGGTTTATTTAATTTATTTAATACAGAAAAGTCCATTACTTTGCATATATTTTACTACAGCTGCTTCTAGCCATACACAATATAACGCCCTACTCCGGTTTCTTGCCGCCTCTCTCTCTCTCTCTCTCTTTCTCTCCCTTCCTTCTCTCACCCATTCTTCTACTCACACGTCAGTTCCTTCCTGCCTTGACGCAGCTCGTATTTTCGTTCTTTTGACCTATTGCTCATGCCTGGAGGCCGGACCTTTTGTTATTATCCGCATCACACGCGCAGCGACAATAACATCCTGAGCATGTCTCATTAGGCGATAACAACATGCTGTTAGAGACTTTGGAATCGTCTGTTGTCAATATATAGGGGGGCTCGTTTTCTAATTTGTATTATCGAAGTGAAGGTTAAATTTTGAACTGCATGACAACAGCAGCAAAGCAAGATGCTTGCAAAGTTTCCATAATTTTCGAAAATTTAATTTTTTTCTTTTCGTTTAATCAACTTGTTTTTTTCGTAGCAGCCGCTTTATATGTATATGCAGACGTTTGCGTGATATTTAGACACATGTGTCTATTTTATTTTTATAAATACACACACACAGAAATAAGCATACATGTTTTTTTGATAGCGTTAATTTATGTTGTTGTTGTTATTTTGTTTTTTTTTTGTTGCTGTCATGCGGATGTTTTTTTGTGCTTCTTTGTGTTTTTTCTATTTATTCGTCGAATTTTTTTGGCTACATTTCAGTCTTCAATCGATTGCCGGCTCGTGTAGGTGACAAGTGAGTGAATCAGCTTTGCTTAGATAACAAGAAGACAATAAAAAAATAAACTTTAAAGTTATTGTAGATCAACGTAGTTCTTCGATTCCCATCATATTTCCAAGCAAACAAATTCCCAGCTGCATTTTATTGACTTATCAGTTGCGGTTGTCGTGCTAATCAGTTTGTATATATTTACCTGCATACATATATGTATATGTATGTGTGTATATGCATAGTTTTTTTTTCTGGGTTGTGCGTGTTTTTCAATGTCAAACAAGTCAAGCAACATTGCGACTTTGTTGTATCTAAAACTTTTTCTCTATATAACACTTGCCTTCCTACCACGATCTCTCTCCAACTCTCTCTCTCTCTGTCTCTCTCTCTCTCTCTCGCTCTCTCTCTCTCTCTCTATAGATATATATGTATGTCTATCTCACTTTTACGCGCCACACGCGCCCTATTAGTGTTTAACCGTTTCGTAAGCAACACGTCACAAATTCGCCGCAGCAACATGTTGCCTCTGACCTTGTCCAATGTCACCGTTTTGGAGCATGCGCCGCACACGTCACGCAGCAAAAGTGAAAGTGGACGTCACAAGTAGCGGCTGTCCCCTACCCCCGTCTCTCTGACGGGTCTTACATTTGCCCTCTCTGAATTTCCGCACCCACCGTTTTGATTACATCAGTCGAGACTGTAGTTAAATTCGCAGTCGCGTCTTGGCTCAGTTGCTGAAAAAGCATTGTCGAGGTTGGTTGAGCTGCTGGAGCTAAAACAAAAATTAAAGTGTTTAGTGAGCGACTAATAATGTTTAATTAATGGAGTCTGCTGCAATAGGGCAGCTCTTGTTGTAAATCTGTGAATTTGTAATTGCTTAAAGTTTATTTCAATTGCAATTAATTCGTATAAGTGAAATTTTCACACATTCTTCTGCAAATTTTAAGAAAGCAGAACAAAGCTGCAAACAAGAGCAGTATCATATGTATTATATATACATACATAAATAAGTTTATATACATATATCTAATCCGTGTTTGATAAACGCGGAACCAACAAAAAGTGAAGCATACTTTTTATAATATGCAAGTGCTTGTGGTGTTTATTTTTTAAATACAAATTTCGCACTTTTCTCTGCAACTTTTAGCAACATCCGCAACTTGGCAACACTGCTGAACACACTTAAGCAACATTTGTGTATATGCATGTAAAATGTTGCCAGCGCAGCAGTTAGCCGTAAACTCGGTCTCTATCTACGCACTTACGCTCTCTTTTGTCATTGCTCTCTTTGAAATCAGCTGTGCATTTCCAAAGCTTTCAAAACCTAAAGCCCCATTTGATTGATAGATATTCATGTATATTTTTTTTCCGCCTCGGCGCACAGATGCTTTGTTGTAGTTTAAGAGACACATACCAAATTTTTTTTAAATTATAGTATATCAGCTTAAAATTCCAATTATTTTAGATATATACATACAAGTATAGCTCACAAATTGGTAACGGTGTCAAAATTCTTAGTTCATATAGATAGCGCACTATTTGGTCCCCACCCAAATGCATTTCAACGTACTCCGACTGCTTAAATCCATTCATAACAATGCTTTATCGTATAAAAATAACTCACAATGTAAATCCGGGCCATTTCAGAACTATAACTATACGCGAATCTCAAAGATGACCACCTACTTCAACTATCCCAGCAAGGAGCTGCAGGAGGAGCTCAGAACCATCGCCCAGGCGATCGTTGCTCCTGGCAAGGGAATTCTCGCCGCCGATGAGTCTGTCTCGACCATGGGCAAGCGCCTGAAGGATATTGGCGTGGAGAACACCGATGAGAACCGTCGCGCCTACCGCCAGCTCCTGTTCACCTCTGACGATAAGCTAGCCGAGAACATTTCCGGCGTCATCCTGTTCGACGAGACTGTGTACCAGAAGGCCGATGATGGCACCACCTTCATCCAGTGCTTGAGGAAGAAGGGCATCATTCCCGGCATCAAGGTCGACACTGGTGTCGTGCCACTGATGGGCTCCGAGGATGAGTCGACCACCCAGGGTCTGGATGATCTGGCCAAGCGTTGCGCCAAGTACAAGAAGGAGGGCTGCGATTTCGCCAAGTGGCGTTGCGTCCTGAAGATTGGCAAGAACACCCCTTCATACCAGGCCATCCTGGAGAATGCCAATGTGCTGGCCCGCTATGCCTCCATCTGCCAGTCGGAGCGCATTGTCCCGATTGTGGAGCCAGAGGTGCTGCCCGATGGTGAGCACGATCTGGATCGCGCTCAGAAGGTCACCGAAACCGTTCTGGCCGCCGTCTACAAGGCACTGAACGATCATCACGTCTACCTGGAGGGCACGCTCCTCAAGCCCAACATGGTCACCGCTGGCCAGGGAGCCAAGAAGAACACACCCCAGGAGATTGCTCTGGCAACCGTTACGGCCCTGCGCCGCACTGTGCCCTCTGCTGTTCCCGGTAAATTTTTAGCCCTACATTAAACAAAAATAAATATGCATTTGCTAACTGATATTCGCTGTGTGCAGGCGTCACCTTCCTGTCGGGTGGACAGTCCGAGGAGGAGGCCACCGTTAACTTGAGCGCCATCAACAATGTTCCACTGACCCGCCCCTGGGCTCTGACCTTCTCGTACGGTCGCGCCCTGCAGGCCTCCGTGCTGCGCGCCTGGGGTGGCAAGAAGGAGAACGTCGCCGCTGGACAGGGTGAGCTCATCAAACGCGCCAGGGTAAGTTCTACGCTATGGTTAAACAGAGTTTGGGCTTAGCTATAGTTTGGGTTGCTGTCGATTTTCATGTTTACCAGGGCTGTTAACGGCTGTTAGCAGGAAACTATATTAACCAATCCATTCAATAACCTTATCATCCTTATTCCTCATCACATTCACTCATCCAGGGCAATGGACTAGCATCTAAGGGTTGTTATGATGCTGGCTCCGTTAAAGGCGCCGCTGGAGATGCAGGTCTACATGTCGCGGATCATAAATACTGAAAATACTCAAGAAATCACATTCAACAAAACCCGAGAAACCATTTTAAGTAGGGAAGCTTATATTGGCCCTATATCTGGCGATCTGAACGATCTTCAAGTTGTTTTGAAATTTTAGGCGAGCATTATGCTGGGTGTAACATATTGAGACGTAATACGTAATCAAGCCAATATATGGGAATTTCACATACGCGTCTTAAATGAAATTATCTACATATATCTAGATATCTTTTGGTACACATCTTATTTTGTCAACCCTGTAATACACATACATGGAATTTCAGTGTTGAACACATTTTAGAGACGCAGGAAAACATAGATTGCGAAATCTTTCCAAAATTTTCAATGAAAGCCATCATATATTTTATAAAGTGTTTTTAATTTTTCTAATATTGCCTATTTCTTCATTTTGTTGTACTTTTTGTATTATACTTTTCCATCTATGGACGCCCTCTGCAACATGCTCCAATAAATTGAATTCCTGAAACTGACTTAAGCATGCCTGCAGATTTGATTATTTTAATATTTTGCGGAATTTTTTTATTTTAACCAATAACCTTATCAACAGAACATTTTAACACAAATCAACCATTTCATTTTGACATCAATAAAAAATAATGAAAAAAAATTCAAATTTTAAATCCATCTTAATTGTTCATATACATTTTTTTCAAAAACTAAATAATTTTTATAATTGCATGCATATAGATATTTTCTAAAAAAAAAATACACAAATAAAACAATATTTTAAATGCATAAAAAACCCATTCTATTTATCTTTAACGTGAACTAATCCTTTATATATTCTATCAGTAAATTCATAATTACTTATTACATTTTAATCCTCTTATTGTTACTTTTTTCATAATTTGTTGTATTTCTGCATGATGCACCTCTCATTTTGCTTTAATGTTTGTCCTTAAACCGTTTTGCGCGCTTTTTCAACTAATCCCAAACCAATTCCTGCTTTCCCTTTTCTGTTTATCCCCGAAACCCTCAGGCCAATGGACTGGCTTGCCAAGGCAAATACGTGGCCGGTTCGATTCCCTCATTCGCGGGCAATGCCAGTTTGTTTGTTGCCCAGCACAAGTACTAAACAAAATAAAAGACAAGTTCCAGCAAATGCAATTCCTAACGGCCGCTGTCTTAACCCAATTGGCTTACCTGTGCTGAGAGCAAACCCGAACACATTCCACACAACAGCACAGAAATGGAATTACAAACCTAAAACCTTATTTAGATGTACAACTAGAATTCTAATTATGACAAAATATAATATTACAATTATAATTTTTTTGACATGAGCCTAAATTTATAATTTCTGAATGTCAGGAAAACAAAAACGAATAAATTATGTTCACAAAGTATTTGACTTTTTGGCTTTAATTAAAAAAGTTAAGTTAGGAAAACATTGCATACAAAAGAATTTATAAATATATATAATTTGATCTAGATTTTCTTTATATTTGTTGCATTTCAATTTTTCAAATTATATCTGACTGTAAAATATGTATTTAGACTGTTCATTTTATGCATTAATATATTTTAAAATGTTAATCATATACAAAGTACATCTGATAGTACTTTTTAAGCAGTTAAAAGTTAGTTTAATTTTCTAACGACTAATTTACTTAACCTGCTTGTCAATATGCACAGCTAGCAATGCCTACACAAGCCTTAATTAATTCAAAAAATAAACAAACAGCATAAACTTTTTCTCACACACACTGATACACTGTTAGCCGGACACGGGGCGTTATCAGAATTATAGGAATTACGTGCCGGGTCAGCTCAAATATGGCCAGGGGCGAGAATATAAACGTTTTGGTCCCTTCCTCCTGGGCATAGTTTTGGGCACAATTAAGCGTAATCGAATAAACTTTCAGCTCAAAATACTTGTAAATTTAATTTACAAGAAAAACTTTTCAACGTGTGGGGTTTTTTGTATTTGTGTGTGTGTGAGAGTGGAGCTTATGCGTAAAAAGTTGGAAAAATTGCCGCAGGTAAGACTGGGGGCCAACGGGGCCAACTTCCAGTTTACAGTTGAGTGAGCCATGCCGAAAATCGCAGCAAAAGTTGGAAAAATAAAATCTTGTGTTGCGCATTTTCTGGTGGGACTTAGGCTTGTTTATATTTATATATATATATAGGAAATTGTGTTGGGGCGTCGTAAGGACACTGTTAAATGCTTAATTAATTAACATTTTTTTCCCATTCTCTTCTCCTCAGGCTAACGGCGAGGCTGCTGTGGGCAAATACGTTGCTGGCAGCGCCGGCTCCGGCTCTGGCTCTTTGTTCGTTGCCAACCACGCCTACTAAGGCGGGCAGCAACAACACCAAGCAGCAGATAATAAAAAAAGGAAGCTAATTGCTGAGCAAAAAAAAACAACAACAATTTTTCCAGCAATTTTCATTATTTATTTTGTAAGTTACAAGAGAGCAAAAAGCTAAAGAGCAAGCAAAAAAATTAAAAAAAAAAAATTTAACACAAGAATGTTTGAAAAATGAAACAATTATGTTTATTGAGAAGCAAATTTACTTTTAGTTCTAAGCACAACAGCAAAACGAAATGTTGAAGTTATGCAAATTATATATATATTATACGATGATTATTAATTATTATGTAATATTTCAATGTTCGAAATCCACTTGCAAAAAGCATGTCGTAAATCGTAATCGCAGGTAAAACAAACAACATCAAAGATTTTTAACATTGAAATCATATGAGTTTCTTATGTTTCTACTTATTCATTAACATTTTGCAATGTTTGTATACAAAAAAGCTATGAGAAAATTTTTCATAATTATTATTATTACACTTTATATTTATGATTATGATTGTAATTATAAGTGAACAAAAGGATGCAAATAAACAAACGCAATCGAAATAAAAACAAACAACAAAAACTAACCCAAAAGTCTACAACAAAGCAACAAATCTATGACATATAATTTTTATCGGCAGAATCAAGCTGATCTATATCTATTTCAATACAAAAATGCATGAAACAAAATAAAACATTGTTATTGCTAAAAAGCAGAGTTAATTAACAAAAGAAAAATATGAATAATAATAATTGTAGTTGACACACATACTGCAAAACGATTTGCAGCTTTCTATTATTATAGCTCCATAGAGATTGTATCTCTTGGTTCGTTTTGAGGAATCAACGAGTATCCCTTGAAATCAAGACGCAACCAAAGCAAATAACAAACCCCATATTTATCTATTCAATATATATTTATGATTCTTTTTATTATGTGTTACTCAAATTTCTTATATATATATATATTTTTCTGCATATCGTTATCGTTAACCACAAACATTTTAAATGCAACACAGTGCATATACCCTACATTTATAAGCAAACGTTATGATCTAAAAATGAACATTAGCAAAAAAGAAAAAAAATGATGTAATTGTATCTCATTTTTTATAATTTTCTTAATTCCTGAAAGCGAAACGTACAATAACAACAACATCATGTTTCACTTAATTATATAGCTCAAATATATGAATATCCTAAAACATTATAAAGCTGAAATATATGACAACTCGACAACATTAATTATAAACAACAACAATAAAAAAAATCTATAAGGCAGTTGAACGAACATCATTCAATAAAAACTCAACCTTATAATAGAGCAAAAATACCAAAAATGTGTTTTCATTTTAATGAACCACCAAAAAGAAAGCCAATACTGTTGCATATAACAGGGCGAAAGTTACGAAGTTTTCAAAACTGGCTTACAGTTTGACAGGCATTAAACTAAAAATGACTGGAAAGGGAACTCTAAAATCTTATATGAATAAATCATAAGGTACATATTCTCTCACATTTATTAGAGAATTACGTATCTGAAATGATTATACTTATTTTACTTAAGTGAAAGCATTTAAATTTTTTATATGTGTGTCTATGTGTGTTATACCAGACTAGGTTCTGTATTCCAACTAAAAAAGCTTTTATATAAAACCAGATTAATAATTTAAAATTTGGATTACGTAATAATGTGTTCGAGAATTGTACCAAGTAGTCATAAAGATGGAAGATCATCTAATTACTACCCGATTATATTCCTGATTGGTATTAATAGCCAATTCGAAAGGTCCTTATCCGTATGAATACATCCACTTCAGAGACCATAAGAATATCTATACTTAAAAACCTATTAATATTCAGATTCAGTTGACACTTTTCGGCTCCTTTTTCAGCTAGGTATTTGTCTATCTTAAAATCTTTATAATCTTTAAATACGAATCTCAAAAGCCATTCAAATAACTAATAGCCTAGACACGTGATTTTGATTGTGTTTGCGTATGTCTAGGAATATTAATAGATACTTGGAATAAGCATGTGATTGAATAGATAAACAAACGCACACACACACACACACACACACATTTACCCAGTTCAGCTAGCAGCAAATATATTCATATTAATTGCAATTATCTACATTAAAATAAGTATTAATATGTGTTTGTTAAAGCTTGAAATTTTACCAAAAGGTAGCTAAAAATGTACTAATGTGTACACTCAGAATATACTCAAAATATATATTATGGGGAAAAAAGTTTATATAAGACTATTTATGGAAAGGCTTTTCACATAATATTCTTCTGTTCTACCATTTATGCTGTCGTCAATTAAATGCATTCTTCAAATATTGCCTTGACTTCTTTCTACTAATTTAGATAAAGTTTTAATAATTGCAATACATCTGCGATTAATAATTATATTTGCCACGTCCTCTCAATGAAAAAACTTTTCACATAATATTCGTTTACTCTACTTTTTATGCTGTCTTATTTAAATGTATTCTTAAGAATTCGTTTACTTCTTTCTACTTTTAAGACAAAGTTTTAGTAATTGCTATTAATGTGCTATCAGTAATTATCTTGTCTCTTCATTTTCTGTTCAGGATTAAATTTCAGTGAACACGTCCTCTCAATGATTTTCCAATAGATTTATTTTTCAGAATAAAAGTGCATTGCAGCTATTTTAGAATTTCTTGCTTGAGTGCTTAATGCTTCTTAATTGGTTACTGAGAATAGATAACTGCAAGGAGTTTAATTTATTTTTCTGACATTAGCTGATACCCACAATAATTATGTGCAATGTCAATGCCTAGTCTCATTTTCTTTCTGGCTATTTATAGTTTCTTCTTTTCGTTTCCGATGAACGCTTAACTGATTGCTGTGGGGTTTGTTTCCTGCTGCCATTTTTTCTATATCTAGAACACTTGCGAAGTGCCTCCAATCAATTTGAGATTCCATTTAAATGAAATGTTCGCACTTGCTTGGTGGCAGCTCGTCTTCGTATCTGTGGAACGGCCTATCTGTTATTGTATCACAGTTTTTCAGACAGTCGAGATAACTGGCTCGA